AATCAGACATCAAGAATTGTAACATTCAAAAACCAGTAGGAGAGGACATCAATCTGTCTGGCCATTCAATGACAGACCTGCGGGTGGCTATCTTACAACAGAAAAACTTCAAAAACAGACTCCAAGGAGAGACTGCTGAGCTGGAATTGATATGCAAACTAGACACAATCAACTCAGGATTGAATAAGGACTGGGAATGGCTAAGCCATTACAAACATTGAATCTATCTCCCCTTGTAAGTATTCTCACACTTCTTATCAAACTGTCTGTACTGGGCTATCTTGATTATCACTTCAAAAGTTTTTTTTCTCTTACTTAATTGGCCTCTCAGAGTTGGTAAGACAACTCCCACCTGTTCATGCTCTCTGTACGTGTGTGTATATATATCTCCTCAATATTTATTCCACTCTATATGCATCCGAAGAAGTGGGCTGTAGTCCACGAAAGCTTATGCTCTAATAAATTTGTTAGTCTCTAAGGTGCCACAAGTACTCCTGTTCTTTTTGTGTACTTGAAGTGTCTGCTTCCCCCTAATGGCTGCTGGTTGACATAAAGGCTGCTCTGTTAAGGGGGGGTCACTAGTAACTTTCACAGTCACCCCTTCGGGCCTGACAAATTCAAAAATTGTCAGGCCCGCTACGCAATTTGCGATTAAGCTGGAGGGACAGATACTGGGTTTTCTTATGGACAGCAGAGCTTTTGATTATAGCATTACACAGGCATTTGGCACATTATATTATTATTTAGATAATACATAGAAAGAAAAAAATTCATTTAACAATTGTTTGAAAGAGCCCCGTAAACCATGACCCAAGGTCTGGAAGGAGGTTTTTAAAACTAAAGATGTGATCAAGAGATACAGCACGGAAAACAAAGCAGCATTTTTAATGGCTTGTAAATTCTTTTTAATTAAGCCAGAATGATTAACATAGAAACAACATTTTTTCCCGATGCGAGCACAAGTCCCCCCCTAATTGGTTTATATGCTTGGAAAGAGCATTGAGAATGTTTGCACTTTCACCCAGAAAGTTTTCAAGTATTTCAAGTATGTCTTTATGGTCACAGATCAGATGGTACTTCTGATGTGTCTGTAAGGGCAGTGGGCCAAGCCTGATGCTCTAGATCATTCCGAATGGCCATTAGATGGTCATTCAGGAAATCCTGAATTTTTGAACATGCTAGATTCCACTGCAATGCCTTTTCAGCCTCAGTGATATTCAATACTATTTCTGTTAGCAACTTCTGGGTTATAGAACTAAGGGCGGAGATAACATGTAACTTACCAATTCCAGCCTGTACCTGGGTTAGCTGTGCCCCAATTACTTATTATGTTTTGGTTTTTTAAAATATTTTGAACTGCTGCTGCACTATTGGCCCCATCCCATAGGGATCCGGTCAAGTCACTTTTCTTTTTAGAGGAAATAACCCAAGCCCTCTGTTGTGCTAATTTAATGGCAGCCCCTTGATCTGGAAACTGGATAAGGGTAATGAAAATTTAACAGTCCGTAGTGTAGTGGTAATTACAGTTTATTGAAATTTTAATACATTTTTGGAGGGGGTAGTACTATACCACGTTCCCAAGCATGGGTCCCACAAGTTTTTTTCTGCCAGTGTATAATTTTTTGTTTTTTTACCAGGGTCAGTTTTTAATGTCTCTTGTAGTCAGGAATCCCTGGACTTTGTGGTTTTAATGAAGCAAGTGTTTTTTGTTTGTTTGTTTGTTTGTTTGTTTGTTTTTGAAACAGTGTGGTTTAGCATTATACAGGGGAGAGGTTACTAGCACATTACCCTGTAATGGTTTTGCTTTTTTTAGAAAAATTCAAAGGCACAGTAGGTCTGTCAGTGGACAAGGGAGAGGTTACTAGCACTTCACCTTGTCTTTTTTTTTTTCTGCTGTCCAGAAGGCACAGCAGAGCTAGAAGGAGAAATAGGCTTATCAGTCGGAGAGTCCTCCCGAGGTGGAGGGGTCTTTTTACAGTGAGAATCATGGGTTCAGGCAGGTAGTCCTTGGCACTTTACAGTGGTGTTGGTGGTTCACAGGACTTGGAAAGGGTCTTTCAAGTGTGGAGCCAAAGCAGTCTTTTGTTGATGGACTTTACATAGACTTAGTCTTTTTGTTTTAATGAATGGCAGGGCTGCTAGGGTCTTTGGGTAGCACTTCTTTTATCTTTGAGAAAAGAAACCTAACACATTTCATTAATGCCTGGCAGTGTTTTGCAGATTTTATAGTTGCTTGGGCACATTCAGGCCCCCCTTTTCTTGGCTGTCAGCCAAGTTTTAGCTGTGGGCAGTGTCCTTGGATGGGGCCAGCATCTTATCTTTGGACTGAGCTTGCTAGCTATTTTTTTTTTAGTTAACTTGTTGTTGTTGTTTTGTTTTATTATTTTTATTTTTTTAAATTTACAAAGAAAACTTTTACTTTTTACTTATACATTTTTTTTAACAATGAACACATATACATTGCTATTATACAGTACATTAGTTTTATTACTTAATGTATGCCATGTACACCCTTCCAGTAAAATAACTTTATTACAGAGCTTTGGAGCAACAAACCAGGACAAGCACACCCACCCTTGAGGAGTCCACTGGGTACAACCTCTTGTGTCCAATAGCTTTTCTCCCTCCCCAGCCCTCTGGCTAAAAATCTGAGGTAGCCAGAAGGATCCCATGGGCAATATGGGGAATGGGTTAACCTTCCATGTCCTTGCTTCCAAAGAGTGTTGGTATGCAAATTTTAACAAAAATTTTGGCCATAGAACACAAAAATAATTGTTATTGTGCCAGTAAATGCATGGTACATTGAATGCTATTCAGCTGGCATCCGTTTTCTTTGATGATTTGAAAGACAAAAGAACAGAGGTCTACCCTTTCTGGGCAGTCAGTTATTGCTTAAAATATTTTCTTTATATACACATACTTTTTTTGTATTTGTTTTATAGGCAGCCCAGGTTTTAGTGGCTTTTACCTTATTAGTTAGAAAATTGCATGAATACAGATGCTTTCTGGCTTGCTTTTAGCTTTAAAGCTATTCACAGCTTAAAGAATTTTACTTAAAAATAAAAGGACACAATTAACTTTTCCAGACTTTTGATTGCCTTTTACTTCTAACTCCTGCTTTTAAACACACAGTGATCTGAAAAAGACAACACAACCTATATTGGTAGGTTTGCATTTTTTTTACCTTTGCTACAATATACACTGCACATGTTCTGGGGAAAATGCACATTCTTTCCACAATTCAATTTTCACAACACTAGCCACATTAATTTTTACACAAGGTGTAACTATTTTTTTTGAACAGCGGGTAAAGACCATTTACT